AAGCCAGTCCCAGTGTCCCTTTGTTTATCCAGTGGATGAAGTGCTTCACCGTCGACTTCATTCGACACTCTGCCATGATGGATCGTCACATGGGTGCCACGATGATCAATTGAACACCCAAGTTGGTAAACCATTATATAGAGTCATTAGAGAAACTGAGATGACAAACGCAATGCATTGCACGTGTGTTCATTGATTTGTTGTTTTCTATTTGCTTGATGTTTGCCTCACATGCGATAGGAGATGAACATGGGCAAACTGGGATGTAGACCCAAACGTGGAGCAAACCGCCAATGAAACATGGGACACATGGAGAAACATAGCAACCATGAGCGCCAATCGAAAGTCAATCGTGAGGTTTCCAAGGATCGATGGTGCCAAAATCAGACTGGATCGATTGGGACACGTGCCGATCGATGTGCCGCATCCTGCCGCATGGGCGGGCGGATCTGCGGCGGATCTGCGGCCGCTCTTTCATGGCTTTCATGGCCGTTTTTGACATCGGAATCCGCCCCCCCGTCGTTCCGAGCGCTTTGGCGGTTCCTCTCGACCTGACTTTGGGGTCTGAACGCCGGTCACCAGGCGATACGGTGCTGTGGACGACGGCGGTGACCGGCAGCTGGCGCGGTGCCGTGGGGCGGCTACGTGCCATGGCACAGCGACCCGTGGTTCAGGTACGCTTCAGGGACCCACGTCCTGGGTGCGCAGGGCTCACCATGCAGCCATTCCCTCAGAATGCACATGGGAAGTCGACCAGTCCATCCATGGAACCCCATCAGTTGGCCCCATCCAGGACACCGACTCCTTCAACGTGGCTGGGAGCGCTTGTGCCCGTGCTGCGGCATGGGAGGAGGACGGAGCAACCGTGCTGGGGGCTTCGCCGTTGGCGTTTTTTCAAGGAAATACGATTTGGACATCGGACATCCGTGACGATTTCGCGATTTGGAAGGATGGAACGACGAAGGTGAAATGGAGGATCATGGAGGTGAAAACATATTCATAATAGGAAACAGATGGAACAAGATGGAAAAATAATGACACACATCATACAGATTGTAATACATAGATCCCCAAATAGATAGAAGTTCGTAGATCCTCACTCAAAAGGTGGAAACTGTGCCACTATCTATTTGGGGATCATTATATCCATGTCTCTTTGGCAACGAACGTCCATTTTTGGAACGACGGGACGGACCATCGCCGACGTGGACACACCACCTGGGTCAGGCCTTGGGGCTGTTTCTGCACCATGGCCTACGCAGAGGCGGTTCCGTGGCGAGTGGGCAAGTGGACACACCACTAATGACGAGGAGACATATTAGAGGGGTTGGGCATTTGGTCATCCTTCCTGGGGGGGAGATCATCTTCAATCCAAGTCATCCTTCATCCTTCATCAATTCCTTCGCTCTTTTGGCCGACGCCGGGTGAGGCCTGGTGGCGTTCGGAGCCGCCATCGATGCCTGCGAGAGCTGGACGTTGGGATATACGCTCTTGCAGCAGATGTGGCATGGCTGGAGGAAATTGCGCTTGAGATGGGTTGAGTGTTGAATTAGAAGAAGCCATCTATTGTATAAGTAGGCACTGAAGACGGGGAGCAACGGTGCATTTTTCGGTTCTTGGGATCACACGTGAGGCAGGAACTCTTCTGTCATCCGTGGTTCAGAAGCTGCCTTTGATCGTGGATTTGTTGATCATGCGGATGGTTGACAAGTCGGCCGTTTTCTCCACAAAATAAGTCCGCAGGGTTTGAGGAAGATGATCAGCCTGGTGTTCCGAACACGTAGGGACTGAACAAAGATCTTCGCGCATCGCGACGAACTGGACTTGACCGTGGACGGACTCAGACTCTCGTCCTCGAAAAGGTGCCAAGAAGACTCAGCCTCTCAGACCATGCAGAAGACAAGAAGACCCGACCATCCGAAAGCCACTCCAAGAGATCAACTGGACCAAGCAATTCAGCTGGATCAGCTAGACCTCTCCTTCCCAGCTCAGGAGACAAGAGCAGAATTTGCCAGATGCCCGGCTAAGATCTTGTGCGATTTCGGCCGAAGGGTGTGTGGATCTTGCCATGCACGGTACTTGCCTTGCCTCATGTTTAACCAGAGCTTTATTGTATACCCGGTCTTAGAGTCTAAACCCACAAAACCATCGTGATGAGCACAACATGACTTTTTGGAGGATGGGTGGCCCAGCAACCATCCTGGAAACGGTCCCAATGAGGAAGGATTGTTGTCTCTCAACTGAAAACACCGCCTGGCAATTGACTCCAAGATCTTCTCCCATCCAACGCTTGATCAAACTCTCACAGTGTTTTTTTTTTTTTTTTTTCATTTTTTTAAAGCACCCTTTCCACATGCGTGCTTCGGCACTCCCAGTGGCACGAGCGTCAGCATGGCACTCCGAGCGCACGTCCGAGACCGCATGGCACGTCCGCGCCGCCCTCACTGGCCTCGCCGGCGATGGCTGGCGCCAGGGGCTGAGGAGCTTTTCGGGTGGCGCCGCGGACGCAGCGCACGCAGCGCAGGACGGGGGATGGACATGCCAGGGTGATCCGGGGTGGGTGTATTCAGCAGCAGCTTTACCTCCCATCTATCTATGCCTCTGTGTGTACCTATGCACACGGATGGCAAGTGGACATTAGGAAATGGATGGAGCAAGGTCCGAAGGGTGGTTTCACACCAAGCAGTGGGCCAAGCAGCATTCCCATTGAGTGGTTTGATCTCATGATCGGTCCCAGGGAGGCCGATCCTTTTTGGACGGAGTATGTGAGGATGGGACACTCCCAAATGAAACTGGAACAGGGCGTGACATGGTTGGAACATGTTCTGATTCGCTCGGATGGTGGTCCTGGTCTGTTCAGGAGAAAGGACCCGCGACCGCTCGTCGACCCAGGTCAAATCGACGCACCGGATTCATCGGTCGCCAGCTCCAAGCTGACCGGCCGCCCTGCAACGAGACCTACGGGTGGAGGGTGGCTGGATTGAGCGAGCCGAGCTCCTTCCAGTTCCTTGGGTGTCCGTGTTCCTGTCCTTTAGAGTCGTCAGGGTTTCGCAAGCAAATCACTATTTTTGAACAAGGCCTGCAACTGAACACCAACCATCATCATCATCATCATCATCATCATCATCATCATCTGCTGTTACTGTACTGGTAATAGGATAGACCCAACTGATTCCCTACTTTTGTCGCACCAGTCAGGACCTCCAAGGCTTCCATTGAGTGGTTTCTTGGGCAATCAATTGGAACGAAGGAATCTTCGATATACGAAGGCAAGGTTCCCAAATGGCTTGGCATCCATCCTGAAAGTGCGTGAAATCAGATTTGGTTTTATTTAGGGAGGATGTTTTTCTATTTTTTCTGGTGTCAACACACCACCTAAACTCGAAGGATGCCATGTGCAACAGCGCGGCATTGGCAGCATGTTCGCAGAGAGCGCCCTGGTACAAGATGTTCTCATGGCTAAGCGGCATGCAGGACCGAGTAGCTGAGGGATGCAGACATGGACAGGCACCTACCTTGACATGTGGGAAGGTAACACAGGTCCCAACGTGCTAATTACACCGCTGCATTATCCTATGGTGTTAAGGGTCTACAGTCTTCTGCCATGGCTTCATCACTGGGTTCTGAATGACCCCTTCCTGAGACACTCCGAACCCTTTACATGGTCCTACGTAGTTGCTTTGTGGAAATAGCTGGCTGTGCGTTGAGGAAGACAAGGAATCTCAAACCACCCGCTGGACCCTCAACAAAGAAACTGGTTCCCCCCAAATATGGGTAGATAAATATAGATAGAAAGATAGAAAGATCGAAATAAATCAAAAAAAACAGATAGAAGGAAAGAACTATAGATTGATTCGATTCGAGGATATCCATTGGAGCGAACCGTTGGGGTGTTCGTTTTTGACGTCTGAAGGTTCGTGCCGACGGCGCCCGACGACCTCCATGGGTCACGAACCCCCACGAAGCGGAATTCGAAGCGTTCCACTTTTTTTCGCGCCGGAAAGCATCAGCGGTGTGAAGAACGCATGGAACTCAGTCGGTCCAGAAAAACCGTCCAGAAAAATGTTAGGAGAAGAAGGTGGAGAACAGCTGTGCCTCTTGCACAGCGGTCATCTTTTCTTGTGTCGCAGCCTGGCCACGCGCGCGCCTTGGAGCCATCCTGCAAAGGAAACCGGGCTTTCAGTGGAATATTGTGGATGTTGGGTAGGAGAGCCATCCCCGATGGGGGGAAGAAGCACGGAAGGCGGCCATGCATCTACGGTACCTGAGTGGTGCCAGGTACTGTGATGGACCAGCTTTCCAGCAGGAGATACGTTAACCCGTTAGATGTCCACTATGAAACTATGAAGCACTCAGCACAGTGGGTGTTTCCTACCCACCCAGTTTCTTCTGTACCAGTGGTGTGCGTTTCGCCTCGTTCGCACCAAACCAAACGCCCGGCGACCCCCCCCAGACCCGCCCCTTCGGAGCGGCGCCGCTTGGACGAGGTTTCAGCTGTTGCAGCGCCTGCCACACCTGGCCCTCGCCCCGGATCGCCTTCTGCTGGGCTCCGCCGTCGCCCGCGGCGAGCTGGCCGCGGGGCTCGCGAGCCCGGGGATCTGGAGGGGCGTGGAGAAAAAGAGGGGACGGAGAAGCTGCGCCAGTACGGGAGGGGTGAGGCTGGAGAGGCTCTGCGCGCCTGTGTCCGAAGTGAAAGGACTTGCGTCTGCAGGGGAAGCTCTGATAGACCAGAGGTGATAGCAGCATTGTTTGTATCACCACAGGTGATTGGCAAGGCAAGCATGACAAGATCGACAAAAGACCCGCTGGGACACAAGTTACAAGCCAAAGGAATCCAAAAGAGCCTTTGATCATGGACTCTGCCACCATCCAAGAGTTTCTCGGCGAAGTGGAACCATTCCATCACCACACAAAAAAACGAGGACGAATAGGACTCCTTGGGCACAGGGACGTGACTGCAGAAGTGAAGCACCGCTGTCGGACGCTCGCGACCTGTCCAGGCGCGCGTGGAGCGGCTGGGGCGGCACTTGGCCGAGCTGGTGAGAGACCTGGAGGCGTCGCCCGTCGCGGTGGGCGGTGGCGGTGGAAACCCATGGCTCGCGGCCCCTGGTGCGAGCCAAAGACCTGGAGCCGGGGGGTGCGAGTTCTGGAGTTGAACGTTGAAAGGTTTTTGGGACCATCCCTGAGCTTTTCCCTTTTTGGGGCGAAGGGTGACGGCGTTGTCTTGAGCTCTTCCATAGGTCCCCCAGCTAATCGCCAGCTGCAAAGTTGCAGTGGAGAGAAGGTCCGAGTTTTTGTGGCAGTGACTGGTCCCGCGTGTGGAAAAACCGGTCCGGCGCTTCATGGTCTCAGGTACCACCCGGTGTGGAGGCTAAGCTGCCAAGGTTTCTTCATTCTCTGACCCTAGGGATCCAGCTAGCTTCTCAGAAGGTACTCACCTTTGAGAAAAGGGAGGTAGGAATTTGTTCTATTAATATTTGCCACCTCCACGACTCGCGTTCTTCGCGTTCCAACTCACGACGATCGGTGAGGGTGTGTTTCTGTTTTGGGACCCACAGCCAAGAGTCTCCAAACACGAAAAGTCTCCAGCCGGTGGTGCAGCGACACTTCACCCGCGACGCCTCTCCGTCGAGGCCGCAGCGGGCGAGGGCCGTCGAGGGTCGCAGCGAGCCCTGCACGAGGCGGGACTTGTTCTTCGAGGTCGTGATGTGTGTCGATGGAAGTTCCATTCATGATTGGAGACACAGAAGTTGTCCACTCTGATACTAGAGACACATGTCACGAGTGCACATGACTGGAGACCCATTAGCTCTTCTGGTTCTTAATATACAGAGAGAAAGTTTCCCCTTTCCAGAGGAACATGGCCCAAACGGCCCCAATCTCCATGTCTATGACGAGCTGTTCAACAGTGTACAGTATTCTGCAACTGGTGTATTGAAAAACCAAGCCGACTGTGCTAGCTGCAACTGGCAGACTGGTCGTACCATGGGTGAAAGAAAAGGAACAGTAGTCGGAGCATCAGGAATCCCTGGGAGAACACCCACCGGATCCAGCTGCACCGAAACTGCTCAGCAGTGCCAAGACCTAGAAGCCATTGACCGAACGGTACCCCCCCTGGTTCCTCATATATTGGTGGTAGCTGGGATCCACTGACTATGGAGGTGAAACACAGCCGGAAACTCCTGGGTGGCATGGTCCACAGCCGAAGCAACGGGATTGATCTGGGATCAGTGGGAGACACCTGAAAGAATTGGGAGACCTCCATGGGAAGAGCAAGCCAATACAATTGCCATTAGAGGATATAAGAGGTGTTTTCAAATCCCTTGGACGACCCTATGACTGACTCTGACCATCTCTGACCACTCTGCCGTCGCGGAAGCAGCGCGTTCACGTCCCCAGATCGCGGTGAACTGCAACGTCTCCGTCGCTGGTTCGCCCTGGCAGACGAAGCGGGTGCTGCTGAGTGCCAGGGACCTTTGTTCGTCTCGAGACCGACTCAGACGTGAGACATGAAGACACGCTGTGAAGACGCACAAAAGGGTCAAATGGAGAGCGCTGTCCTGGCAGGTTCTGGGGTTTTCCCTAGAAATCCAGTCGCACCTTCAAAGGCAGGTGATGAACTTCGACACAAGTACAGTGTAGGAGGGTGCCAGGAGGGCTCCGTTGTCATACCGTACCTGAGCTCCGAGGCGGATGGCTTTTCCCTGGTGGATCGGCCGGGCCAGGCGAGGAGAACCAGAGGGATGGATGGGACAGCGAGGGTTCATACCGAAGATCTTCCAAGTATGCAACATTTATACCTTTTGGCTGGTTTTATACACTAAAAGGCATACATTTTGCATAGTTGGAAGATCTAGGTATAGCAGGGTGGTGGACACCAAACTCTGAAGAGACCCAAAAAAGCTTCGGTGCAATTTCGGGCGAAGCAGCACCATGGTGACTCCTCGACTTTTCCCTTTCACCGCAGCACCATCATGATGTGAACTTGTGGACGCTCAACCATGAGGGCATTTGTCACTTGTTTGTGTGGTTCTTCGAGATTCTCCTCTTGCTGTTGAATGCCACAGCAAATTTAAGACTGACGAGCTGGCAAATCTTTCTGAATGACGAGGCATCTTTAGCTTTGCCAAAACAAACCACTCCACCCGAAACTCATTAAACCCACTTGATCCACCTGCGCACAACTCCCATTTCTCCAGCTGAATTCACCAGCCCGACCTGCTTCCCCTCCTCTCGGCGGCAACGGCAACGGCAGGTGACCAGTGGCACCATGGAAACGGAACTCACCCCGTGGAGCCAGGTCCAAAGCCCCGGCGCCTTGGACGGTCGTGCGGGAGGTGGGACGGCCGGGTCGATCTCAGGGCGGGTGGTGCAGGTCGGGTCTGGTAGTTGAGGGGAGACGAAGCAGGAGAATGGATGAAGAATGATGAACATTCTCTTGTACAGTCGATGAATATGGATGAACCTCAGTACCTTGTGGTGTCTTGTTGTGTACCTTGTTGTCAAGGATGGTCATCGGATGTTGTTGGTCAAGCTAAAGCATGGCTAGATTGCGGGAGCTGCGGCTAAAGCATGGTTAGATACCCAAAACCATGGCGTCTATGAAAAACCATCTAGCGTTGATACTACCAGGAGTCACAAAGGAATGATGTCCCCTTTGGGACCGCTGGTACATAGAAGTTCTTCAGAATCTCCCATCATGGATGCTTCCAAATCTCCCAATCAAGTCCTTTCTCAAAGTGAGCAAACAAGGAGGTGTAGACGTGTAGAAACGTTGAGCCGCGAAAACCGAGAGCAGCAAACCAGAGGACTATCTAAGTCTAAGTCGTCGTTTCTTTCCCCACCCCAATTCCTTCAACCCCCTTCTAGACACCCCTTCTAGAACTCCACCGAACGGGTTCTTTTAGCAAGACACGAACGGAAAGAGGAAAGCGTGGCTTTCGCTGCGACGACGTCGGCCGACGTCGGTCGAGACACCAAGGTCCTGAAGCTTCGGAGCCTGGAGGGTGGACTGGTCGGACCGGGATGGGTGGATCATGTTGGATCTATATTTGGCAGTCACCGAACGTTTTCGATGTTAAAGGACATTCCGTAAGGAATGATCCTTTTTGGGATCGTGGAGTCACAGACCCGTGCTAAATAATGGTCTGGGACTTTTGAGGGGAGCGCCTATGCTCCGCGCACGCAGCTGTGTGCGTACGCTGGGTCGCAGCTGCGTAAGCGGTTTTTGTCTCCAAGGTCAAACACTGATCGATCAGGTTGACCTTGGGGGAAGGTTTTTGTTGCTTGAGTTACCTAAATGAACCGGAACAAGTGAGAGTAGAGGTCGATCCAAACTGCAAATCGCTTGGAAGACTATCTTGCTTTACCTCAGGTGGGGGCAAACTCTACTGTAGAGGGTATCAGGGAATGTGGGATCCTTCCGCAACAAAACCCCTTTGTGTTGTAGCTCCTCGTGTCCTGTAGTACTTGGGTGACCCATCCACTGTGGGTTGGATTTCACATGTGCTCACCATGAGAACAAGGCCATTCAGTCCAAGTCATTGCTATCTTCCGTAACATCGTGTCTTTTCGCACCCACGCTTGTAGAGATCATCGGATTCCTGTTGCTCTGAGAAGGTTCCTTTTCAGGCTGTTGGTTTCGAGGTCTCCATGGGTCTCCATGGGTCGCCACGTTTTTGCCACGTTTTCGCCCAGGGCGGAGACCCCGCGCTGGGGCCTCATACGATGGTTGAGAGCACCCAGTGAACCGGTGAGGAGTAATCTCTTCCAGGCGGATGGATGTGGGATGTGGTTGACTGGAGGATGAGTTTTGGACGATTTCAGATGTCTGAAGGACCGGCTTGAAGAACTGACAATCCTTGGCCGGCAAAACATGTTTTTGACCTCCTCTTCTCCGAAGGTGGGAGTGCAATTCTTCGAATTCTTGAGACCTTTTAAACGGGTGCTTTCGGATGGGTACTATCAGACGCTGCAGGAGGTCTGGTGACTGGCAGTAGATTAGACGAACGTGTCAACACCGAACACCTGCGGCATGACTTTTGTAGAATCCGAGAATCCGTCGTTTCCTCCTTGCATGTGGTTCATGCAGGAATGATTCGGCCAGACGCTGATAGGATCTTGTGAGACTTTTGCAAGGCCCCAAATCCATTCATCTCCAGTCGGTCGATCATCACTTTGCCATTGGGGCTTCCCCGGCGCCCCATTGACGACACCAGCCTTGCCGCGTCGTCCATCGCGTAGGCAGAGATGCAGTTGTCGGATCGGCGCATCACGTTGCAGCCCCTTGGGCAGTGGTTTGGGGTCCAACGTTGGGCTGTTTGCCCAACTGGTCGTGTAGGTGCTTTAGGTCGACTTAGTTGGTGCTTTCTTGTTGATGTTGTCAGTGACTCCAGCTCTTCTTTCATGGGTCTTTAGAATTCAAGTTGATTGAAGCAGGGCCGCCCATGCCAATGAGTCTACTCGCAGCTACCACATGAGTTTTGGATGTTGTGGCCTCATCCACTCCATCTGGTGACACATTGTTTCCCAGACACGTCTCGATTCACCGATTGACAGACCCCGAGTCCCGGAGGTTCTTCTTCTTCGCCCGTGGAACCAGGCGAACGAACGCGGAAACGAACGGACCATCCACGGCCCAGGTTCGGCGCCGCGGGGTGCGGAGGCTCAGGTCCAGGGCGAGACGACCGGATGGGAGACACGCCATTGAATCCGGCGAAACGGGGGTGACCCAGTGCCCTCCCCTCTGGAAGTGAAACATTCACCTATAGAGTCTTATCATGTCTTATCAATTCTTATCAGTTATATGGAAATTGAGGGTCGATTTTGCACCACTTCCGCCTCAAGCAGGCGCAAAAAGGTCATGGTGTTCTATTACAGTTTCACAGTAGATGGCACTGGCACCCAAAGATGTCTTTTACATTGGGGTCCTTGTAAGCCACTAAACTTGGGGATTGTGCATCTGCTCTGATGGCCCACTATAAATGAAGTGATGCGGGAAGGGACTCTCGTCAATAAACAAAACAGTGGTGTGGTTCTGACTAAGAGAAAACACACCAATCAGATCATTTTCACATGCATAAACTACTTGAGATGCTGAGTTACTGAACCTCCAGAAACCATCGGCTTGATGGATCGATCGAACCGACCCCTAAGGCCTCCGGAGCTCATGAAGCGACTCTGGCAGGCCTCACAAGGCCGGTGCCGGGGTGAGCCATGCGCCATGCGAAGTCAGGAGGTATGGTATGTAGGAGGAGCAGATGAGGATGAGGATGAATATGATGATGATGATGATGATGATGATGATGATGATGATGATGTTGATGTTGATGATGATGATACTTGTGGGAGACTTTTGTTGACTTTGATGATGGGAGAAGCCAGAAAAGAAGTGCCTGACTTTGGTTTTGTTTTGGCAAGCTGATTCAAGTGATGATCACCCAATCTGCTGGTTTGCACCAAATCTAAGCCAAGCTGCTGCACTTGCGCCAAGCTTGCGCCCGGTCTGTAGAGACGCCCAACGTAAGCACCGCAGGCTTCGATCAGGTAGACGCATCGGTCCCGTCCCGTTGTGGGTGTGGGTTCTTGCACGTTACATCTGCATGACCTCCGTTACATCTGCGTGTTCCTCCCTGATGGCACCGATGCTCCTTCGCTCCTTCGCTCCGGAACGCGTCTTTTTTCGACCACGAGCACAGCGCGTGCGCCTTGGCCCTTGGGACTGGAATTGGCATGTGGCAAATCGAGTAGTGTTCCCCGCTCGCGCGCCTGTAACTAGCTTTCTTTGTTTGGTGTTCAGAGGCGCAGACCGCGGTCCAGGTTTGGCCCAAAAAGGGCCGTTTTCTAACCCTCTATGAACGGATTTAGCTGGGGCTTAAGATTATGAATATTTAAGGAGAGGAAAGCCAGTTATGGAAAGCTTGGCGAAAGGTTTGGAGAAAGTTCCAACCTCTTGATGAATGAATTGTGTTGCGAAAGGGTTGGTGAAGATAGGGCGTGTGGTGGCAGAATGGGAATGTTTCCCCTTTGCTTGGGATAGCAGCAGGACAATCCACACATCACAGAGGGAGATAAGGGAGACAGGTGGGAAGACAAGACACAGAAGCAACTGCGGACGCAAAGAAAGCGGAATTCAATCACCCATTTAAGGAGAAACAAAGCATTTGCTATTATTAATGTATATCCACTTAGATGCAAACAGAAGCTCGAACTGGTCTCACTAGGGGAGTCCAACCTGACGACTAGTGCCTTTTTAGACTGGAACCAACTTCTAGACCGGACATGCCAATGTCAAGCGGATGAAAACAGCAAATCATGTAAAACAGTTCTTCTTTAGCCAAGTAAGTTCTAAGTGTTTTTTCCTGCCCAATGCAAACTACTGTCGCTGGGCCATGTAAAACGACTAATGATCCTGGCCATGTTTCCTGAGGGCGAAAACCAGCAGATCTGTGCGAAACCGCCGCTGAGGGGACTTGGTTGAGTTTTAACTTCCTGCCACCGTCGCTAGGATCGAAGAAGGTGTTGACAGGTCCATCTGTTCCGAAGACGAAGAACACACATATGCAGTTTGTTCAAGGCCTACGACTGCAGGTTTGAGTGGTTTGTGTTGTTTGTCTTAGATACTGGCTACTGCCCGTCTACGGGGAGCCTCCCAGCAGTGCATGTCGAAAGTCGTCGCCAGGGCAAGGAGAAAGCACAGGCGCTGTGTCGAAAGCGTCGATGACCGGAGCGGTGGAAGAAGCGAGTCCTGGCGGTGATCGGTGTGGCGAGTCCATACGACGTGAGGGGCACTCGATGACCATAGATGCCATAGGACATGGGTGTGCATTTCAATAGGGAGACAGCCAGGAAACAATGGCTATAGACTGGTCTATCTCCCTTCTTCCGGGTCGAACTGGGAGGTCTCCCTCTTTTGATGCACAGCCATATGAGGTGGTACCTCAAGTACCTCAAGGTTGTGTGCTGGGTATGGTGCTCTATTTGTCATCGGAGGGGCTTCCTGTGGAGTGTTGATGATGCGGACTTGAGGTTTTATAGAATTAGACTAAGACATACTAAGACTATATACACTACACGACCAAGACTATAGCGCTGTAAAATGTGTGGGTTCGGGATGAAGGTGGGGTGATCATGCTGCAGATATATACTGTATTTTCCTTCGTTGATGGTTTGGATGTTTTCTTTTCTTTCCTCCACTTTTCCCAAGTCATACACCGACCTCACGAGCCTGCGTGGTGGGTGGTGGAGCGAGCCAAGTCATACCGTGTTTGAAGACGTGAAGAGATCTGTAGCCGTCCGCGCTGGACGGAAGAATGCGTCAACAGAGGTTTTGAAGGGCATCGCTACCAGTAGCGATGGGAATGTCTAAGTCTATGGCCCCTTACATTGCAAGTTATCTGCGCATGTTTCACGATTTCCACGTCTTCAGCAATTGTCACCAGCGGGTAGTCACCAGCGGCTCTTGGAAGAAGAGACAATTGTCACACCGAAGAGTACCACTAACCTAAGATTTCTTGCTGGAGTTCTTCCACCAAGAAATGATCTTCCCGCCTCGGCTCTTCTCATGAGTTTTTGAACACTTGTCAACTTTGCATGGTTTCCTTTATTTTCTGCTCGCCCAAGCGTAAAAAAACAAGGCAAGACGAGGAACGTGTTCGGGGATTTCCCAGGTACCCAGGTATCTAGCCCTTGTTTTCCTCTTCCCGCTCCACTCGATGCGCCTCGGACGTCCGGCCGACAGGGCCGAAGTGCAACGTGCAGCCTTTGATCGACCTCTTGGGCAAGTGCACGGAAGGCGTGGAACTGCGTGGAACTGCGAGGAACTGCGTGGGCGTGGCTGCGTGGAAATGGCCGGATGACGGGCGGAGCTGCGATGCCACCTTTTTGGGTGAGATGGATTGGGCTTCCGGCTTCCTGGAAAGGAGCTGAACAGAACGAAAGAGGCATAGGTGACCTGTTCGTTGGCGGCTCCCTATATTATCCCTACCCTCTTAAGCTACTGCCGGAGGGCGAACCTCAAAAAAGTAAGTTACATTTAGGCCCCCTACGGGGTCAAAAAATGCAAGTTATATAACCCCCCCCCAGGCACCATCGAAACGGGTAAGGGGTGGGGGGGGTGAGGGGCTTACTTATATTTTACTACCTCCCCTCTAGGGGGGTCAGCAGATAGAAGGGAGGGAGGGGGTCTGGAAAATGCAACTTACGACCTGGGAGGCCTGACCCCCCCCCCCAAAGGTGCGTTGGCAGATCGAAGGGATGTGTGGGGGATATGTCAGACTGTGGCAAGTATGAGATCTGCAAGTCAACTTTTGGAATCACGAAAGGTGAGATTTGCAGACGTCAAAAATTGTAACTTACAATTAGTCCACGCATCCAAACCCTCAGATTTTACAGGGGGTACATGGGTTATGTGGGAAAGTTTGACCTCACAAATCGTAACTTACATTTTTGCCACGCCCAACTTCCCTGAATTTTCAAGGAACTGGGGTGTCCCCCTGAGTTACTTACGTTTTAGCATACTAAAAATCACACACGTCCGACCACACGAAGCACAAGCAGGGGGCAAGAGACCAGGGGATCAAACAGCTTCCAAAGTTCAACAGCCGAAAGACCAACTCTGACAGAAACCGCTCCCGGGGCACCGTTCCCTCCCCCGTTAAGGGAATAGACACAGGGACAGGGGGGAGGAGAAAAAGTAGAAAAAGTAGCTAGTTAATTTATAATTTTTAGATAGTTTCCTGGTCATATTCCTCCAGTTCCTCTCTTCCCTTGATGTTTGAAGAGTTTTGAGAGCATTTCTTAAAATTTGGAATTTGTACGTCTGGGACATGGTCTTCCCCAGGACTTTTTCGTGTAGTTTTGTTATCGTTATGTTATCGCTTTGGAACCCCCAGTGCTTCACCCAAAACGGAAATGAGTGTGTCTGACAGCAAGATTCAGGGGGCCGATGGGGGGGGTCCAAAAATGTAAGCGCGCCACCGTGCCTCAAAAATGTCACTTCCATTTTTGAGGTCCTTTTTGCGGGAAATCACCCCTGAGGCCTCAAAAATGTAAGTTACCTTTTTTGAGGCCCACCTCAAAGTTAGTGTAATTACATTTTTGAGGCCCTCCGCATAGGAAAATGTAACAATTATCGACGTCCCCCCTCAGGAAAGGGTAGTGATCCTATATACACCCAGATTGGGAAGACGGCAGAGCTTCGTACAGACACATGCATTTGGGTGTTCCAAAAACAACAAAAAGAGCCCTGCAGAATTTGGGAATGCGCCCCTTCAATTCAAGCGCAAACCCTTCAAATGCTATACGTCACAACGAAGACCCACACCTCTCTGTCAGCTGCTGGCAGCGGGCCTTGTGGCGGGCCTCGTGGCCGCCGTCGCCAGCGGTGAACGCCGTCGCGAGGCCAGCATGGCTTGGAGTTGAACGAAGTCTTTGCCGAGCCCTTGGCTGTGGACTTGAGCCTCTACGAGGTCCGGTCGTGGTGCAGAGCTCCACCTGGTGCGAAGGGGGGGGGGGGGGGGGGGGGGGGGGCAGAGGGAGTGTTTGTGTGTTTTGTTGAGAGGTGCAGGAGGAAGGGTGACACTTTTCGAGGTTTTGCGGGACGCTGACGTGCAATTTTGCATTATGATTCCAGTCTTCCACAATTTGATTTCCAAAAAAAAACACAGAGATCTCAAAGTGACCTCAATCGGAGCTGCCATGATCCAAATCCTTGACCTCAGAGCCATGATCCAAAGTAGGAGGCCATTGCTATTAGGTTGGAGGCCTGGCCTTTTTTTCAGCAGGGAGTCTGCGGTCTTGAGTCTGTGCCGGCCCGGCACGTGTTTCTTCTTCGCGGCTCATTGGGTCAGACGGTGCTGGGCTCACCGTGATGGTGGAAATCGATCCTCAGCTAGGGCCCCTCGCCTAGGGCTTAGAGACTTCAGGCATCTTCAGGCCGAAGGCGACGGACCCATTCTACGCATTCGATGGACCTCCACGCATTCGGACACCGAGGTAGTAGTAGTTTGGCCGACACCTCCACCACATCCTCCAGATCCGAGGTGACCGACTGAAATCCAACCAGTCATCTCTCCAGAAATCCAAGCAGCATAAGACCCACTGGACATCCTACAACATACATCAACATACTAATTATGTGTTTTCCTCATGTCGAATCCAGAAATCCATGTTACACTGTTACACCGCATTTCTTGCCGGCCCGTTGGTGGGCGGCATATGGCCCCTTTCACCGCTCCGGCGCTGAAGTCCTTTGCAGGTGAGAAAGCGTCTCAGAGACGATGAGCAAAATCCCCTCCGCAGGCGCGGCAGCATCTCGAGATGCGGTGGTTGGAGGCGGGCCCCGGTATGTCCAGCGCAGACCCATCCAGGTGCATCGTCTCTTGAAGTCCAAACAGGTTTAACCATTTTTTGATGAAGCCGGTGGGTTAGGCTGTAGTTAGTTACTGCAGAACGAAGTGAGTATCTAGGGGGTGTGGAGGGGACAGACGGCCGCTGTTGCTGCTAACTATATAGTATATAGTGTTATTTTTTACTTTCTCGTGGCCCATTTCGGGTGACGGTTGCGGCATGGCTATCGGAGCCACATTGCTTGTTGCTGCTTTTGCTATTTGTTCTTTATCAACGGGTTTTTGTTTCTTGCCGTTATAAGTTATAACAAGGGCCTGCACGCTGGTTTCTACTAGCTTTCGCTTTTCGTTTCTCAGGTTCTGTCTAATTGTGTTGCTTTTGGGGTTAGAGTTCGACAGTCGAGCACGCAGTCACCAGCACCAGTCACCAGTCGAAGCCGTCCATGGCCTTCCCTCGCTCCGCTCCACCGGGTCCAACACGGACGACAGGCGGACGAGGGCGGGCACTGCCCCACCCTTGCACCAAAACCAAAAAGGGGGTCATCAAGTGGATGCTGAGGACTACTGGCTCCTGGGGCATCTTGGAAACCCAGTCCCAATCAGAAAGAAGTTGACGTTTCTCCAAGCAACCACTTGTTGTGTAAAGAATCTCAATTGCTATTTGTGTAATGTTGCTGTTTCTGGTTGTTCGGGTTAACCAGGTACAAGCTAAACTCCGTAAACTCCTGTGGAGAATAGGATTGTTCACTCGCACGAGGAAATATTTGATTTTCACCAGGTAGAAGCTATTTTGTTTCTGGGACAATGTGGAAACTGCTTTTGACATATCTACAGTTTTGGCTTTGGAAGATATATACCTGGACCATCCTGTCGGGGTGCCCTGTCTGGAAGCCTAGTGGGTAGTGTCGGGTAGTCCAGCCAGGACACCCCGACAGGATCCCCACCAACCACCGGCGCCAGGATGCACGAGGCCTCCAGAGCCGAAAACGTGGCCCGGGGCCCAACGGGGCCGCGCTGAAGAGCGCCACAAAGAGCGCACCGAGAGCCGAGACCGGAAGCGCGGATTCGTTTTAAGAGAAAGGTGTTGAGGTGACCTGGTCTGTTGGTTAAACAAAACAGTTTCTAGGTACAGAGACTGAAAAGAAAGGTGTTATTTTTTCGAGTGTCTCAAGGTGTTGACCTGGTCTGACCTGCCACTCTTGGAGACACCGAAACAGACGCCCGATCTTCCCGACCTCCGGTCAAACCTCGGTCCGAGACCCGATCTACACGGTGTCGGTACACGAGTGTCCACACGAGGTCCACGTCCAGACGACCTGGTTTGGACAGTCCAAGGATGTGTCGACACAACCCCCACGACTCTCTGACCCGGGTCGGGACTCCCTCCGGGTCACTCTGGGTTCACTCCGGGGAAACAGCTGTACGAACAGGCAAACAGGTTCGTTTTGGAAGTGGTCGGTTCTAATGGTATATGTTTCAGTGGTATCTATGGAACCGGTGTTTGGTCTAGCTGGCGAGTTGAACATTGTTGTTTTGCTGAGGTTGAATTCCCTTCTAGGAATTCTTTTGGATTTTTTCTTTCCCAGTTAAGCAAATCCAAGTATGTAAGATTGTAAGTGGTACGTAATTGAAGATTCTTGGGTAACCCGTGTAAGTGGTTTGGGGTTTGGAAGAAATGGTGGATCACCACCAATCCCAATTCCTCTAAACCTCAGTAGGTTTGACGTCCCTAGATGACATATTGCTGGTCCATCCACGATACTCTCGAACGGTCCGCTTACGCAACAAAAGGATACAAAAAAGGATAACTTCATACCTTCAATTCCAGCAACTTCCAGCTCATTCCCACCCCCCCAGCCATCACCGCCTATCACCAGCCATCCCTCCTCCCATCGACTTCCCTCTTCCCAGACCTCCTGGAGCTGGAGCAACGAGTGGTTGAGCCCCGGAGAAGTGAAGTTCTTCGAGTTCAAGCAGATCTTGCCGTCCCGGGGCCCCAGAACTACGGGTTCTTCGGTTTTGGACCTCCCGTGAGGTGCTGTTTGCGAAGATGGACAAGGGGGGAGGTTTTGATCAGAACATGTGGAGTTCGGTCGGATGACACATGGATAGACCCATGGATAGACGTTGGTTCATCGGTGAACGATGGTTTTAACTTTCCTCAGTCAAATCCACCAGGGGGACGGGGACAGTTCGGTTCCACATGGCCTCGGGGTTTGGAGCAGCTCAGGGGCGGCCTTGGCCCTTCGGACACGCGCGTGTTGGGAAGCTTAGACGGTCGAGGCGGGTGCCGGTGATTGGCGCAGAACAGGAGACAGTTGTGAGAGCATGGACACTCCAAGACACTGCCATGCCTATCAGAGCAATTAGGCGTATAGACTAGATGTGGATGTTTTTGGAAGAGGGAATTCCATGATAGCCCAGTCTGTGTGAGGGATACTAGACCACCCACCGAATGGACTAGTTGTCATGTAGCTCTAATGCACGTTGTACACGACAAACATCACCAGCATAGCCGCATGGCCTAGCAGGGGGATGCCCCAAAATAAAAGCGATCGAGTTCACAGCGCTGTGTCCCGCTCTGTCGGCCCCATCTGCCCAAGCTCACGGCCGGGCCCCCCCTGGCAGTGTGACACTCCCCTTCAGATCACCCGCCCTGCGGGCCCTGCGAGATCGATCCAGCCACAGGCGTCGCGAGTCGCACGTCCGGAGTGGACCACGTCCGGAGTCGCTTGCCCAGGACTGCAGTCTACTACCTCGAGCCGGACCAGCCGGAGGAGGCGGGCGAGCTTCGTGTCCGACCGCGGGTTCCGCGGCGGCGGGAACAGCGTACTCATCCGAGGTGTGTAGGGCGATAGGCACATATAGGCACGATAGGCTATAGGAGACACGGACTGGTAGCGGGATCCGAACATGAACAGAATGGACCGTGGAAAACCAGACATAGTCAACCTACCAGGGTGAGTTGGCTGCCCTGGGCATGGTCCCTTTCACCAGTCGCCTCTCGATTTGTGGCCCAAGCTGGAGGAGTCGAGCACGTCGACGAGGACCATCCCCTGTGCTATGTGCCCCATCCAGGTGCTGTATGTCTTCAACACTACATATATAGATATACCCTGCTGAACACTAACATGGAACCTGAAGGCCACTGGTTTGTGGAGGAAAACAGTCTTTCAGGGTGCCATTCTCAGTGTCCATGTTAGTGTTCGGCAGTGTAATTGATATATAAATAAGCAAAACGCGTATCCCTTCTTCGGTTCTCTTCAGTGTTCAGGATTTCGAGTCCAACCGCACCCTCCACGGCCGATTTCGAAGGAGGGAAAGGCTTAAAGGAAAGGCCAGTGGGTGCCGATGAGTCGCTGCTGTCTTCAGACACAGACATCTCCAGGTTCTCATCCGAAGCAGCTGGAGGTTCATTTCATCCGAAGCGATGCACCTGGACCGGTCTCTGATGTCTCGTTCATCCGGAGTGGAGGAGTGGTCCGGTTGTGTCCAGTCTCCGGTGCGACCCTCACCGAGTTGATGGTTCTTATGTTCTATATATAAGTTTTTGCACCGAACTGTATTGACTTTATATCGATTCGACATGGCCACCTTCATCTACAAAATTCAGGGCACACCACCATGTGGTTCCAAAAAATCTGGGAATTCCATAGAATTCAATGTCAACCTTCCAATTCGATCAAACTGGATCCGTCCGGCTCACCGCCTCCCGATTTCGCTGGCTGCTTGAAACGGCTTTAGACACGCCACACGGCTCAGCCCGGGGCAGCGGACCGCGGGGCAGGTGGTCTTGCATAAGGTCAACAAAGCATGGGATCCTCGGATCACAAAGGCCATTTTCGGATCACAAAGGCCATGGGTCATCCGAACGAAGACTCTTCCTATCTCTTTGCGAAGAGAAGAGAAGACAGATGCGGGCGGCGCCATTGGGCGAAAACAGAGTTTTCATGTTTGGTGACCGGGGAACATCCTCTGGAGTGTTTCGACAAGCGGGGGTGGGGGCGTCGGAAAAAAGCGCAGGCTTTACTGAACACAGAATCGGCCAGTGTAAAGTGAAACAACAAACACATGAGTTGCTTCAAGGCTATATGGAGTGTGTCGAGTACTTTTGGTCCATGTTCGCTTCATATAACAAAAACAAGACACTCATCAGTACTGGATCCATTGAAAGTGTGGCCTGACCTTGTGCATAGTGGCTGGATTGAAGAATGAACGCAGTGGACACTCATTGAAAAGGAGTCAAAACAACATGAAGATGCTGTGTGAGCACTCCCCAACTTTCTCATTCTTTTCACCAGAAGTCGTGATTGGACGGTCTTTTTGAGTCGTAGGTGATACGGGACGTATGAGACGGTCGTAGCTGCAGTGGCCGCTTGCCCAGGGTGCAGAACAAAAAACTCGGTGCTGCAGTGAAGGTTGAACTTGGCTTCGTGAACGTCACGTCTCCGAGTCTCCTTTCGTCCTTTCGGCTGGACGCTCCGACAAACGGAACCTCGGGGCGAGCATCGCACCGCGCGGTGCGATGCGAAGACCGCACCGCGAAGACCTTCTCACCGCGGGCTCCACGTGCCCAGGACATCCCTTTCAAAGATGACTTCCTGGTCTACACCAAGCACATCTTCAGCCAGGCGAGGAGGTTCCTCCTCGGTTCTCGCTTCTCCATCGGAGCGGTCCATGGTTCGGTGGTGCGGAACAAGAAGCCGGAGCGAAAAAGAGAGTTGGACAGATGGGTCCACTGTCGCCAGCGGGCTGGGGTGGTGGCTGATTCGGAACCAAAGGGCCCCCTTCGCAGTGAAGCGTTCGCAGCATCGGCCCGGGAGATTTTGGGCGCGTTGGTGCACCAAGCATCATGCGAGGTCGGGCATCTGTCTTCTTCTCAGCAACTCAAACAGGCCACCTAGCCTTAGTGCGCATGGACCAAGTAAGGCATGGACCAGTCTCCGGCTAAACACCGATGGTGCACCGAAGCACCCGAACGAGCTGGGCGGATGGCGGGCCGGGCCGTGGACGGCGCGGTTCGAGCTCTTGCACTGGTCAAAGTGGATTGAATGTGATATCAAATAGTTCAAAGGGGATTTAAAGCGGCATTAAAGATCTCCAGAACCGGATCAGTATATGGGAAGTGGTTGTGCAAGCGTTGTAGCTGGTCTAAGCAGGAGCGTTCGTTCAGGTGTGATGCCGTTCGTCTCACCGCCGTTCGTCCGAGCGGACCTGGTTGAGAAGTCGACCACCACGCTGGTCCATCGACCACCACGATCCTCTTCCGATCTCATCTCGTTCAAAAGCCGTTCTTTTCGTAGTGCAGTCCGCAGTTCCGAGTGGCTGCGCCGTTCTTGAGCGGGAGAGTGGCTGAGAGTGGGCAGGAATTGACCGGGTCCTGTTGGAGGGTGACCAGACCGAAGAGAGTTGTTGGAGGGTGGTCGTCGTCACACCCGACTCGGCCTCGGGATCCTGCAGGCTGCCAGCGGTGCCGCGTCTCGGCTCTCACCAGGGGTGGTCAGGTTTCGAATGTGAGCCCATGAGAGGGAACGCAGGGAAGCCACTAATTACTTGAAACATGAGGGGGAAATCAATCTCAACAATTCCTTGAACTTTTGGGCGGGAAAGTGGAGAACTGAGAGATCCATGACATGGCTGGTCTCTTTGCCTCTGGTCATCCAAGACTCTGTCCTCCCTCTTTTTGGTCTTGGAATCGCCGGTTGTTTGGTCTCTGCGAAGGTGCATGACTCCATAAAGTGATGCCTGATGCACAATTGAACCATTTGCCGATCGCCTGTGAGCATAGACATCCCAAGACCATGAATTCCTATTTACATTCAACCGTCGTATCTCCGGCCGCTGCCGCGCCGCGTTTGCCATCTGGAGCGGTGAACCGCAATGAACCTCACCACCGACCACACAGGTTTGCTTGCAGATCGAGGTTGGCATCCACTGGATTGGAAGGCGTTCGACCCACGTCTTCCGTACGTCTTCCGTGCGTGGCATCATCTTTAGAGAGAAGAAGTGAGAATTCAAAAGACAAGTGAGAAGAAGACGTTTGCAATTTGTTGGCCGAAGCTATGTTTTGTGATGCTAGCTATGCCTATTTACGCAGTTCGCATTTCCAGCATTGGAACACGATGCAGTGTTCACTCGAGGTCCTTGCGGCTCTAGAAAGGCACGCAAACGAATCCATTGGGCTGGAAAGGGGTCTCCCTACCTCCCTAACAACCTGTTTTTGACCACGAACCGTCCTCCCCACCGTGCGCGGGCGGCGACGGCTCGGCTCGGCCCGTGCAGTCCGTTGAAGCTGGGGCTCTTGAAGCCGACGATCCGACAGCAGAGCAAGAACGAGACGGCGGGAAGTGGGCAGGCGTGGAGAGAATGAGACGGAACTGCGAGGATTCGGCTTGGAAGGTCACCCAAGACCGGTGAGGAGTGGCCCCCCAAAAGTGAGGCTGGTGAGCACCTCTTCCACCAAAGCATGGGTTCGGTTGAGGGTTCGGTTGACAATCTCTTATTATAGAGGAATCTGTTCAGTCTATCAGTGGTCAATCAGGGTCTCCACCTTTTGACCTACAGACATCAGAAAGATTATATTGTGGCGTGGTTGTAGAGGTAAAGACTTTGCTTGTAGAGATGTCCGATTTCTCCTATCAACCCTTGGGACCGTCGATGTTTTTCTCGTGTTTCGAACCACTCCGGATTGCCCTTGACTGGAACCGTTCGAGCAGAGCAGCATGACGAGCAGCCATGTAGGGAAGCCATGTAGGGGGTCTTCCGAAGCAGGCCCCTGGGTGAAGGATCGTTCAAGGGGCCTCGTTTCCACACATCGGCCTGATGGGGGTCTCCCATTCGCCGCTACTCTTGTGTCATCTTGTGTGGCAAATCTTGTGTGGCAGAGATCGATCGAGAAGGTGGTCAAGCAATGACGCAAAAAGACCTTAACCATCCTGAGCTACTAACCTCTCCCCCCAAAGTAACATGAACATCCCACAGAAGGGTTTTGGAGAGTATACTCACTCGGTCGCTCTGTTTGTTTGGGAGACTGTAGCTGTAGCTTGGTTTTAAAGGCTATTTTTGGCAGGATGGTTCTTTCAGAGCAACTGCTTCTCTAAAGTTAGAAACAAGATGAAATATATGCAAGTAACAGTATATGCAAATATTATCAAATATATGAACATTATGTGCAAATGACCTGTGCAAATATGGCTCACATCGCCATGTGTAGAAACCGTCTCCCATGGATCCCCCCCGGGATGTCCTCTACGATGTTGCGAGGTCCGTTTTTTTTTTTTTTTTCGATTCCGAAGTCGAAGGACGGCAGGTGACTGCAACCAAAAGAGCATCCTGTGAGCCATCGAAGTGCATGTCCCAATCATCTTATAAACATGTATATTCGCATAATAGAGTATGACCATATATGAATGCAGTGCCCATCTGGGCTCAGAGAATGACTGGTCGGAATTCTTGCACCGGCCACAGTCGAGACCACGAAGGCGGGCGACCGTCCACGACGGACGGTGGAGACGGGTTTTCTGGGTGTTTCAGGTGAGTGAAGTGACTCGACGTGGTCCATGAAAACCAGACAATATTGGATGTCATTGAAAACCACCACTTTTTTTCCACACTCTTGGATGTCCACGAACATGTTGGAGGATCTCGGACTGCCCGAGCTCATTGGAGTAGTCGAACAGCCCAGACATGGATTGAACAGCCCTCTTTCTCTGGGGGGTTGATGAATCAGTCGGAATTCCGCCCACATCATGCCGGCGGCGGAGGCTTTGGTTGGCGGCCGAACGGAAACCTGACGTGGCTCTCCGACTGCGAGTGCGCGGTTCACACCAGGACAGGGGTGGGTTCCGTGTGGTTTGACCAGGCCGCGCTGCTTTCGGCCGGTTTCTGGCGGGATGGAGGGGAGAAGTGATATTGTCACGAACACAACAACCTGAAGGCGATGCATCAAGGAACATGTCCTACTGTCAATTCCCACTTCCAATGCCGTGCAATGCAGCTCTTTCAAAGATCGTTGACCGTGCAGCTTGGTGTCTGCTCGAAGATATGCTTTTGCTTTAGATGCTCCAGCCCTGCGTTTGAGCATGGAACCACAGCTGCTGACCCAGCTAGAGCCGGAGCTGCTGCGTGGAGTAGCCTTGCATGAGTGCCTCAGTGGATGGGGGAAGCACTGGCGACAACCGAAACCTGGTATCTTGGCGCTCAGAAGGCGAGGATGGCGTTACACGCCCCCGCCCCTCCGGAGAATTTTTGTGCTAACCTACACAGGTGTATAGTTTAGTCATTATCATGTTTCAGGGTCGTTGGCACAGCGCTACGCAAATCCAAGGCATGTTCAATGTTGATGCCCAAGATTACGAGTTGAGCCGGCCTATGGAGTACTTTGACGATTTCCTCAGCCATGACTGGAGAACCTCTCGATGGTTAAAGCTGATGTCGATGCTCATTATTTATAACTCAAGAGCAGCGCTGCTTGCAATGTGCATAGCAAGCACAGCGCTGGGCATCGTTCGAGTGTATGTCGAGTCTCCGGAAGACCCAATGCAAAATCTGAAAGTGACACTCATAGCTGTTGTTATTTGCCATGGTGTTCACCTTGTGTTCTTGTGCTTTTGGCAAAGATTTCGCAGCTTGCTGCTGACACCTACATTTGTCTTCTTGGACAAGCTGTGCATTGCCCAAAGTCCGGAGCTTGCAGAAAGGAAGGCCCAAGGCGTTCTGGGACTGGCTGCATTCCTAAATCATTCTAGACGGCTTGTCGTACCTTGGTGGATATTAGTTCTTACATAAGAGTTGTTATGTTGATTTGCTTTGGGCTTCTCTATTTTGGCATTTCTGTTGATTTGTTCCTTCGAGTTTCTGAACCATCCTCTGATGAGGTACTGTGGTCGCCGCAGTTTTTTTCAGAGGCTTTGGTGCTCATACGAAATTGCCACTTACTTGACGGCAAGCAATGAGCATAAACCATTGATCGTCATGCCAGCACATGCAGGTGGGATTTTGTTCCTGGAATATCTGGGGTGGGCTGGTATTTCAGCTCTCTTTTGGCTGAGCCTCTTTGCCATAGGCACAAACATTGGGGGTCTCATGGACCTGTTGCCCTCCACATTTGGTCGCATGGTCATTGGTGGGTCGCTGGTCACGTTGGTGGCAGTATGCGTTGCCGTGCCCTTGCTTGCCTGGGAGATTTCTTTGGCTCGACATGTGCAACACGTTCGGCACCAGCTGTTGACGTTTAACATGCAAGAGACGCTCTGCTATTGTTGTTCCAACCAACACCGACACCCCGACTCTGGCGAAGAGATACCCTGTGACCGGAAGTTAGTCTACCAGAAGCTCAGGGAGTCTTGCTTGGCCAATAGTGGAGAGCTTCAAGAGCTCTTTTTTACCAGTAATGTAGTAGGACACTCAGAGTATCTAAAAGTTAAAGTTAAAACCTGCGTGTATTTGCGATTCTTGGAGAAAGGAGTGGCATGGACAACCCGACGATGTGGGGGAAGAGTATTTGTCGAGGTTCAATACTCTCGTCCAGAGCCGCTTGTCAAGTTCAATTTTGAGGAGCATGTCCAGCTTCATTCCTCTCCGCTACTGGACTGCGAAGATAAGTTTTACCATGCTTTACCGTTAAAATGTGCTTCTCAGAGCCCTTAAAAGATACGAGACCATAAGTAGTGGTTGAGGGGTCGGGATTCCAAGAGCAGTGGAGGCTATACGTTCTACATGATTGCTGCAACCAACTTGCCTTGGTTCTCAGAGTGTGTTCGTAGGATGATCACTGAGCCACGCATGGTCAAAGAAGATAATGACGACGTGGTGGTCATTCTGCGCCACTTCTTGGAGTGGGGGACTATAAGCTTGGTCGTGCTATCGGGATCTTGGTTGTCAAGATTCCTTGCTCTGCATGTTGGGGTACGCTTGGCTCGTGCACTTGGCTCCTGCGTTTGCGCAGCCGTGCTGGTTTTTCCGCTGTGCATTCCTCTGGTTGCAGTTTCCCTAGGAAGCTTCTACTATTTGCGCGGGGCTGCTTCCGGCCTGCTCTGTGCAACACCTTTCTGCATCCTGCTCATCTTACTCGTGTGCTACAGCTTGTGGCCCAGTTTGCGGCCAGTCAAAATGGCCAACCAGCAGGCCATAAGCGAAACAGCAGAGAAAGCCGAAGATGACGAGAATATGTGCAGTCGCAGAAGTATCGATAGTCTCACATCCATAGGAACTTTCAGTTTCTGATATGTCGATGATGACCACGGTATACATAGAGACTCACTTTGGAAATGGACGGGGGCACGAACCCCCAACCTTTCTGGTTTTTTAATCACAAGAAACACATGTCCTTCTAGGCATGAATAGCAGGCGGGGCTAGCTTTAACATGTGGCTGGTTCACCTTCATTTAGGTTCGGGTCAAAACCCGAACCCCCCAGGCTCAGCACTAGGTTGACTTCGGTGTATGTTCTCATATCTTGGTGAAAGAGCTGTTTGGGTGTCACTCATGGCCATCTCACAAATAGTCACACAAAGAGTTGCATCCAACTTACTCGTCATATATGTACATAGTGCATTCTCTTGATCTTGGGAGGTTAACCTGGGTCCGTTTTGATCCTGTGAATCCCTGCATTTTCACTTGATGTGATCATAGGTGTGACATACACCACTTAGCACCAACAAACGCTGTTCATGGCTCAAGAAAAGCATCGTCCGTTTTTTTGGAAACTCAGGTTATGAGCCCAACGACCTGTTTTTCCCTTTGAAGTCCACCCCTGTGGATCAGGGTCGTTGGCCGCCATGAGCGACTTCGTGCGGCAGCGGCGGAGACGATCCTCCCGTGAAGGAGAACGTCTCCATGATCCTGGAGATCGGGAGGGTCGGCTTCGAGTGGGGGGCGGCGGATGAGCGCCTGCAAGCGCTGCTGGAGGAGCAAGAAGGCAGAGCGGCATCGGTGCCGGCGAGGACGGCAGCGGTTAGAAGGCTGGCTGCAGCTCCGGAGCAGGGTGGGCAAGCAACAACTACATCCTCGGTGAGAAGGCCGAGCAGAGAACCACAAGTTCAGGTGGCTCTGCCAAATGGGCCAGGACAAGTCACGGCTGAGTCAGCACCGGGATTGCTGGACTCGGTCAGGCAGTCCTTAGATGTTTTGCAGCGAGCCTTTGGTGGGAATTCTCAAGGTCAAGGGCTACTTGCACCCCTACTTCAACACCACGATTTGGGACATCTAGCCGGTACCGGTCCTGGAGTTCATGCTGGGCATGGGAGTGTCTTTGGATCGCCACAGTGTCCAATTCCACCCCGAGGAGGACCTTTGAGCTATGGCCCCACGAGTGAATTGGGACCACAACCGAGGGTTCTGGAACCTTATCCCATGG